CATCGATGACACGGTCTTCCTTTGGGGCGGGCGGAATGACACGGAAGGGGCCTGCAATGTGCTCTACGCCTTTGACGTCAGTGAGTATGGGGCTCTGTTCTTCCAAATGGTACCTCACGGGCTGGGAAGATGTCGGCTGGGCTGGGAATAGGGCAACTCAGGAGGGTCAGAGCTGCTTAACTGGCCCATCCTCTCATCTCCTTCAGATACTCACAAGTGGTCCACACCCCGAGTGTTAGGAACAATTCCTGGGGCTCGGGACGGACATTCGGCTTGTGTCTTGGGCAAGACCATGTACATTTTCGGGGGCTACGAGCAACTGGTAAGTCTGGAAAGCAAGTAGAGGTTTGGGGTGGGAATGAGAGAGAGGAAAGGGAATTGAGGATGCTGGAATGGGAGGCTTTGGCTTGTTTTGCAGGGCTTTTTGTTGTTGCTGTTAATCCTCACCTGAGGATATTTTTCCATTGATTTTTAGAGAGTAGAAGGGAGGGGGGTAGACCAAGAGAAACACTGATGTGGGAGACACATCGATTGGTTGCCTCCGGCATGTGCCCCAACCAGGGCTGGGGGTCAAGCCTGCAACTGAGGTATGTGCCCTTGACCAGAATTGAACCTGGGACCCTTTAGTCCGAAGGCCGGAGCTCTATCCACTGAGCCAAACCAGCTGAGGCTGTTTTGCAGGTTTTTGAGGGGAGGAATGGAGGTCAGAGACTGCTGACCCAATCTTATATTCCTTCCTTCACTTCCTTTCTCTTCCCACTCAGGCGGACTGCTTTTCCAATGACATTCACAAGCTGGATACCAGCACCATGACATGGACCCTTATCTGTACAAAGGTCTGCCCTTTCTTCTTTCTCCCAGACCCCCACCCTCAATTGAAGAAACCATAGGAAGTTCGATAGTGAGAGCAGATCCTTTCCCAGCCTTCTCGCTCACCTCATCTCTCTGCTCCTGCCCAGGGCAATCCTGCGCGCTGGAGGGACTTCCACTCAGCCACAATGCTGGGCAGTCGCATGTATGTCTTTGGGGGTCGCGCTGACCGATTTGGGCCGTTCCATTCCAACAATGAGATTTACTGCAACCGCATCCGAGTCTTTGACACCAGGACTGAGGCCTGGCTGGACTGTCCAACCACTCCGGTGCTGCCCGAGGGGCGCCGGAGCCACTCAGCCTGTGAGTGTGTGTTCCGCCGCTGCAGTCCCCCTTCCCACCCATTGTCTTCACACTCTTGACATTCCTCTCTCCTTCCAGTTGGCTACAATGGGGAGCTGTACATTTTTGGTGGCTATAATGCAAGGCTGAACCGGCACTTCCATGACCTGTGGAAATTTAACCCTGGTAAAGAACACTGCCTCTAAGGGAGAAACAAGGAGCACTTGAGGGGGGAAGGAAAGAAAGAAAGAATCCTGAGTAGGCGAGAGGTTGAGGTTGGAGAGGATATCTGGCCAGGGCAGGCATTGAATCTCCATGTAAACTTCTCTTTAGTGTCCTTTACCTGGAAAAAGATTGAACCGAAGGGAAAGGGGCCATGTCCACGCCGGCGCCAGTGCTGCTGTATTGTTGGTGACAAAATTGTCCTCTTTGGGGGTACCAGGTTAGTAGGAGAGGGGAGGGCTCAGGGAAGGCCTAAGTCTGTGACTAAACTGGGAGGCATTTGAGCAAGAAGGGTCTCATGAGCATTCTTTCCTCCTCCCTTTCTCTCTCTCTCTCTATCTCTACAGTCCATCTCCTGAGGAAGGCCTGGGAGATGAGTTTGACCTCATAGATCATTCTGACTTACACATTTTGGACTTTAGTAAGTACACTTATTCCCAAAGTGCTCCTGCCATCGGGGTCCCTGTCTCGGTGGTGACATCCAGGACGGAATCTTTCCTTGGCTGTGACTGTCCCCCTGTCTCCCATTCTCCCTCTGCAGGCCCTAGTCTGAAGACCCTGTGCAAACTGGCTGTCATTCAGTATAACCTGGACCAGTCCTGTTTGCCCCATGACATCAGGTACAGTGAGTGGCTGGGAAGGAGGGATTGGTTGAGGGTAAGTGGCAGCACAACATGACCTCATATGGAGGAGATACATCTTGTGGAGAATGAGATGGAAGGAGATACAGACTGTCCCCTGGGTAAATTACATGAAAAAAATAAGTTTTTCAAACAAAGCTCAGGAGCATCACTTCCTGAGATCTTGAGCCTATACGGTTGTTGTGTTAACATGCTGAAAAAGTTTGATGAAATCTTAGAACTTAGCTGCAAAGTAAAGACAAGTTTAGGAGCCTCTGAATCACCTTAGTTCTGGAATTAAGGGAGGTTCTTCCTGGTTCCTTCCCTTTTAGTTTCACTCTTAGGTCTAAGTCAAGTACCACAAGTACTTTGTGTATAATTATGCCCTTTTGGGTCATTCTTCGACATGTACTTTTCCTTGTTTTCAGTTCAGTTTAACTCTTACTTGCTGGGGGGCTATGTCAGTGATGGCGAACCTATGACACTCGTGTCAGAGGTGACACGCGAACTCATTTTTTTGTTGATTTTTCTTTGTTAAATGGCATTTAAATATATAAAATAAATATCAAAAATATAAATCTTTGTTTTACTATGGTTGCAAATATCAAAAAATTTCTATATGTGACACGGCACCAGAGTTAAGTTAGGGTTTTTCAAAATGCTGACACGCCGAGCTCAAAAGGTTCGCCATCACTGGTCTATGTGATCAGTATTCAGTGACACGGTGTATACAGGGCTGACCTGGTGGGTCATAGGTTGGCCTAGGAGTGACATATATGCAGGTACCTGTTGTGGAAGAATGCACGGGAGAACGATCAGCCAGCACTCTGAGGGAGGAAGGTTTAACCTTTATTTCGCAGATCTGCTAGTCCAGGGGAATTCTGGATCCAAATCCTGAACTGAATTCATGGGGAGGCTCTGACTGATATATCTCCCCCTGTGGTGGGCCCCTGAGGGTCCCTGCAGCTCCTCACGTCAGTCAGAGTGGGAAAGTAAGACTACAGTTTTAACCAGAGACTGAACTAGGTGGCAAGCCCCACCATTTTCCTTTTCATACCTGTCAAGTAGACTATAGTGAATAGTAGAATTAAGGAGGTTATTGGTAAATCTTTGTAGAATGACAGAATGGTCAAAAAGAGGGATTTAATTTTAATATGATGGGATGTGTGGGGAAGACCTGGGGTGGGAGGGTAGGAGAGCCGAAGCAGGCTTCTTTCTGAAAGGGATAGTAGTTGAGAGCAAAAATGGGCATTCCTGATGTGGGGTAGGAGGAGCCGCCTGGTTGGATCTGAGCAGAGGAAAGATAGGTTGGGAAATTTACTGCAATGTATACACCCATGCTTTTCTCCAGGTGTTGGGCAAAAGAATATATAAACATAAACAGGAAGTCCACCTGAGCTTGCAGGTGGAGCTGTGGGTGGTATTGGATTGGTGGTGGGCGGGGCCTGATTGTTAATCTAGGAGGGCTGTAAGGAAGAGGTGGCTGTGGGTAGTTAAGGTTTCAGGAAGTTGAAGGCACTGGTGTGTTCATAGTTTTGTTAGCAGTTCTGGGCTTGGGGTGGAGGCTCCTCCTGTCCTTTATACCTGTCACTGTTGGCCTTCCAGGTGGGAGCTGAATGCCATGACCACCAACAGCAATATCAGTCGCCCCATCGTCTCCTCCCATGGGTAGAAGGAAGTTTTTGCCGCCATCCCTCCTGAGCCTGCTGTTGTCTTCACTGCCCCTGCCTGTCTCACCCGCCTGCCCCTTTGGACCCTGGTTACCTCCACATGGAGTTGTTGGACTAGAGGTGTTTTTGTGCTGTGAACTCAGTGGGGAGCTGTGGGGGGAGGGCTAGGTTCCCCCCCTCCTTGGGCCGAGGGCCCCTTCCCTTGGTGCTCTGTCCCATCCACCTTCTTCCAACTGCTCCTGGACTCTGCTCTGTCCCAGGCCAGCGGGGCTCTGAGAAGTGAAGGGAATGGGGAGAATGGAGAAGGGAGAAGCAAGCCGTGTCTGGTCCTCAGAAGCTCCCCTCCCGCTCTGTTTTCACCCCCGCCCCCGCTTGAGCCATGAGCATTGATTGGGAGCCGAGAGAAGTTGCAGCTGTTGCCATGAAACCTCCTTCGCCCTGACCCGGGGAAGGCGAGGACCAGCAGAGAATCCTACCCCTTCCTTGAGCTGTTGCTGTCACCCTGTTGCTCACAGCCAGCTCAGATTTTATAAAAATGGATTAAAGACCTCTAAACGAACCATCTGTGTGTGTGGAATGAATGGGGTGGCAGGCGCTTGCCCGGGGCAGGGGGCGCTCGCAGGTCAAGTGCCACGAGGCCTGGCCCACTTTCTCGT